TACATACATGCATGCATGCATGCATGCATGCATGCATATATATATATATATATATAGATGCATACATATATATATAGACACTATGCGACCACCCTTCGGGTGATAAGGAGGTTTGGGGGGAGGGGGGAGCCAACATCTGACTGAATCGATCTCACTATCGATCTCACTCAATGGAACACCACGGGACACCACGGGACACCACGGGACATTTGTCGATCTCACTATCGATCTCACTATCGATCTCACTCAACGGGACATCACGGGCTACCACGGGCCACCACGGGACACCGCGGAACACCTCTCGATCTCATTATTGATCTCATTATCGATCTCACTATCGATCTCACTCAACGGGACACCATAGGACACCACGGGACACCACGGGACACCTCGGGACACCACATCGATCTCACTATCGATCTCACTATCGATCTCACTCAACGGGACATCGCGGGACACCACGGGACACCACGGGACACCTGTCGATCTCACTATCGATCTCACTATCAATCTCACTTTTTGGGACACCACAGGACACCTCGGGGCACCACATCGATCTCAATATCGATCTCACTATCGATCTCTCTGTCGATCTCACTGTCGATCTCACTCAACGGGACACCACGGGACACCACGGGACACCACGGGTCCCGCAGCGGGACACTGGCGGGACACCGCGTGGCACTGGCTGCCGGAGGAGAAACATTTGGTCCTGCCGCGGCCCAGCCACGGGAGGATTTCGGGACACCCGCGGGACACCGGCGGGACACCGCGCGGCACTGGCCGCCAGAGGAGTTACATCTGGTGCGGCCGCGGCCCAGTCACGGGAGGATTTCCTCTCGCCCGCCCACGCAGCTTCGCCTCGCCCGCACGCATGCACGGCACGCACAACATGAACCCGAAACCGAAATCGATTTCCCGGTAGGGGGGGTCTCCGTTTCACGTCGGACTCACCCCCCAACCTCCGATATTTATATAGATATGTATGTATGTATGTATGTATGTATATATATATATATATACCTATATACAGACATATCATATTGCGCATACATCTACGGTTTCGGGTGGAAAACTGGCGTGCAATTTAGCGCCGCCGGACCGCTTACTGCACGCTGTCCCCCACCTTTGGGGACTGCGTGCACCGAAGAAGCCCCAGCCGGGGGAGAGCTCGCACAGCAGGGGCCCTCGCGGGGGCATCTCCTCACAGGGACAGCGTGCTTTCCTCAGGCGATCGCAAACATGGATTGAGGGGGCGTGGATGAGTGATCGTTTCTTTATTCCTTGTTTTGCCGATCGGCGTGGGCCCTGGCCCCCCCCCTCCCCACCCATGGAGTAGGTCGTGGCTGTTTTTGGCGCCTGTTTCGAGCAGGTGGAGTCTCCCCTCATAGGACGCACTGTCGCAAACAGTCGCGCTAAGCAGAGGTCCAGAGCCAGACCCCCCCCCTCTTCGCTCAATGTCGAAACGCCGAATAAGAAAACGCTCACCTAGCGACGGTCCGGTTTCCATCGGAAATCGCGGATTTCCGCCACCGAACGAGGTGGCACCGGCCGCATTTTGGGTTCGCTAATTCATGTTTGCGCGCCCCCGATTTCCGGAGATCGATCTTGCACGCCATCTTTCCAGCGCCAACCGTACCCAGACATCGACGTCTCGATCTTTTCGAGACACGGGCCCCCGATTTCCCGACCACTTCCCCGGGACCAGTGTTCCGTCCCGAGTCGTGTTTGCACGGTCCTGAGGCCCGGCGAGGGCCCCGAGAGGCCAACGACCGCGTGCAAAACCTCCGTCCCGTTTTTTCACTGCGTTGGACCTCTGGGCGTACGCCCTCCCGCGCCGAGTGATCCTCATCCCGCCCGCGTCCTGCGAGGGGAACCCGCGCAGACGGCGGCCCGTCCGCCGTGTCCGCCGGGGGGAGGCCGCCGGGCTGCGGGCGGCCGACGGGGAGCCGTGCGGCATCTGCTTCTCCGAGAGCGGCTTCCTCACGGGCTGCGAGAGGGGCCACAACAGCCGGGGGGGCACCAGCTGACCACCCGGGTTGGCCCAGAAAGTCACCACCCACCAAACCACCCCAACCCAACCCGAAGGCCTGAAATTGACCTCCATTTCCAGTGGGGGGGGGGTCGGGGAACATCGAGAAAACACATATGGAACCCGTACCCCCCCCAACCCGAAATTCGGGTCTTCGGGTTGGGTTGGAGTGGTCTGGTAGGTAGTCAGAAAGTCGCAAACTGGAGCATCTACATTGCCAGTGGCGGGTTAGTTTTTTCCATCCCACGACTTCTTGAAGGTCGGGGACGACGTCGGGGTCGTGTAGTGTATGCTTTTCCCCCGCTCTTCCCAGAGAAAAAACGAAACATGTATACAGTCGGGGCGCTGAAGAAGGAACCCTTTTCGTTGGGGAGGGGCTCCGTGTTCCTTGGTTGCTTCACAATTTACCTTTTGGTTTTTTCCTTTGGTTTTCGATGGGAAATCGAAGTTCAACTTGTGGATAGAAGGGGCCTCGTTCCTTATTTAGGGTTCCTTGGGTCAACGCCCCGACTGTACACCAGGATCCTGTATACACCAGGATCCGCGTTCCTGTGCGAATTTCAGCGCAGGGCCGGAAAAAGCGTCGGTGTATAGAGTTCGTTTCCCTAGAAAGGGGTCCAGCGAAACGAGGGTGGTGCAGTGGATTTGGTGCATTAGATCTGTGGGGTCGCAATAGATTTGGAGTGTGCAAGACACTTCCGGGCGCGCATGCACTGCTGCATTCTCGCGTGCAGCGCAGCAGTTGCCATACGATGCAGTGCAATGCTCTGGCGTAGTACATGTGCAATACGACTGCCCCAAATCTATTGCACCACCCCCTTTCCGCTGGATCCCGTTTTGGACCACGAGGAACCACTGGCCCCGGCCCCAGCCCGGGCCGATTCTGGGCCCCTGAGGTCTGGGCGCTCTGCCGTGTCTTCGCACCGGGCGTCTTCGCTCGGTCTCGGGCCCCGCGGCGATCCTGGATCGGTCCGGCTCGGAAAGTGCAGCAGAAAGGTGGGGTCTCGGGCTCCGGGCGTGATTTGTTGCGAGGTTGCAATGTTTTCGCAGCGTCGGGTGAAGTCGGGCATGTCCCTGTACAGGAGGACTAAGCCAACATGGTCAAAACATAGTCTGGGGACGATCTTCTGACTGTTCTTGCATCTTTTTTGGAGTATTTTTTGACATTTCTCGATCTTTCGTCCAAGATCCGCCTGTAGGATTATGGTGTTTCAGTCTACTGTAGCTTTGACCACCAGAAAGAATTTCGAGCACCAAGCAAGCATCGAAACTGGAGGGTTTTCACGCGCTGGGCCCTGGGAGGCGATACTCGTTCGACACTTTTTTGATACTTTTCTGGGTGCCCGAAATGATTCATTTTGCTTATGCCGCACCGCCGACCCCTTGGGGCGGCAGCAAAAGTGAAAGACGGAGTTCGCGGAACGCGCGCGATCGCTGGGCAATCTTGGGTTTTCGGCCTGTCTTACGTAGCGTGTGGGGTTCGAGGGGGGGCCTTGTAGGGGATTGTTTTGAAGTTTTTCGTGATCTTATGTGGGTTGCTTGGGGCCTTCACGGGGCCTGTCCCAGGCCTCCTTTTCCACCCCCGGAATAGGCTCGGGGATCGTTGAGAGTCAGCTGGGGGTGCGTCCGGCCAGAAGTTCGAGAGTGGACCCAGCTGTGTCGACGAGGAGTTTCCTGAAGGCCCAAAGAGGGCGGAGAGCGCACAAGAACTGGGAGTTTCATGCCTCGAGCCTCGATCCACCCCGTGCTCCTTCCTTTGCGAAGGGGAGGCACCGGCCAGGGAGGTCGATCCTCACCCCGGCCGTCGGTGGTGGTCCCGTGCACCGAAAACGGCTCGATGAATTCTAGGAGATGCCTCGGGTGGTCTAGAGACCACGAAAATCTGTGAAACATAGGCATTGGACGATTGTGGCCTCTTGGGCCCCTCTTGGGAATGCTCTTGGTAGCCTCGGCAATGCCGAGCGTTACACATATATCCATGTGTGTCTGTATGCATGCATGTATGTATGCATGCATGTATGCAGGTATGCATTTATGTCTGTCTGTCTGTCTGTCTGTCTGTCTGTCTGTATGTATGTATGTATGTATGTATGTATGTATGTATGTACGTATGCATGCATGCATGCACGCATGCATGCATGCATGCATGCATGTATGTTTGTATGTATGTATGTATGTATGCATGCATGCATGCATGCATGTATGTATGTATGCATGCATGCATGCATGTATGTATGTATGTATGTATGCATGCATGCATGCATGCATGCATGTACGTGTGTATGTCTGTATGTAATGCATGCATGCATGCATGCATGCATGCATGCATGCATGCATGTATGTATGTAATGTATGTATGTATGTATGTATGTATGTATGTATGTATGTATGTATGTATGTATGTATGTATGTATGTATGTATGTATGTATGTATGTAGGTATATATGTATGCATGCATGCATGTATGTATGTATGTATGTATGTATGTATGTATGATGTATGCATGCATGCAGGCATGTATGTATATGTATACATACATGTACGCATATGCGTGTACCAATGTATATATACATATATATATATATACACCTATGCACCTATCTCTATATGTAATCGCCATCGGCCCATCCCGCCACCGTGCCTTGGTTGTCGGCCTGAGATCCTTGGTGCCTGGGTTGCGGGTTAGAAGTTACATGCCTCAAGTGGTACTTGGGGCTTCTTTTGAGCTTCTTGGGGACGTCTTGGGGCCTCTTGGGGGGCATTTTGGGGGCCTCTTGGGGCCTCTTGGGGGGCGTCTTGGGAGCCTCATGGGCCCTGTTGGGCGCCTCTTGGGCCCCCCCGGGGCCGCTTTGGGGCGGAAGGCTCGGATTGTTGGTTCAGGTTCCCCTTCTTGGGTCCCTCATTGGGCCGTTTTGGGGCACTCTTGGGCCGTTTTGGGAGCCTCTTGGGCCGTCTTTGCGCCCTCTTGAGCCGTTTCGAGTGCTTTTTGGGAGCCTCCTGGGCCGTTTTGGGGCGGTCTTGGGGGACTGGGGCCGTTTTCAACGCCGTGAAAGCCGAAAATTCGTGTATGACAGAAATGTACGTTTTCCAATAGGAATTCTACGATTTTGGCATCTTGGGCCCCTCTTGGGGATGCTCTGGGAGGCTTCCCGAGCCGTCTAGGAGGCTTCGGGGGCCGTCTCGGGGTCATCCTGGGCGTCTTGGGCCGACCCTTGAGCGTCTCGGGGGCAGGCCGTCGTGGGGGCTGCTTGGAGTTCTCTGGGGCCTCGTGGGGCCTGATGAGACCTTTGCCCCCCCCTCCCCCCCCCTCCAAACCGGCTGGACCGGGCTCCTGGGGGAGGGGTTTGGGAAGGGGGAAGCATTCCACACGCCGTGACCCGAAGGGGTCGGCGTTTTCGATACTTTTCTGGGTGTTCGAAATGATTCCTGGGATGTGGTCCTATCATACGATGGGAACAACATAACTGTAGGAGGACATGCCTGACCTGAGCGTCGGGTCTCAGGGGCTAAGGACTGGTGCTTGCGCATCCTCGGCCGAGCAGGCTGGGAGGGCATGCGCAATGGTCCTGGGCCAGGGGGGGCAAGGATCGGTTGGGTGCCCAGAGATCTTCAGGCGATCGCAGAAATGGATCGAGGGGGCGTGGATTAATCCCCACCACCGGATAATCATATATATATATATATATATATATATATATATATATCTATACACATATATATATATATATATATATATACACCCCCACCTCTCAACCACAGAGTTGATTATCCCCAGGCCAATGCAGACTTGGTCAGGGATGAGCGGCGACAGTGCCGAGTTGATTATCGCGGGGAAACGTTGCGAATCGAAGTTGCTCTCTTCTTATGTTGAGTCGCAAGGATTCCTAAGGATTTCGATTGATTTCCTCAGGATTCCGATGGATGTCCTAGGGATTCCGATGGATTTCTCATGGATTCCTATGAAGGAATCCGATCAATGTCTTAAGGATATTCAGAGATCCTCAGGCGATCGCAAACATGGATCAAGGGGGCGTGGATTCAGGACGGGTCCCGTTTCCATGGGAAATCGCGTGTTTCCGCCGCCGAGCGAGGCGGCACCGGCTGCATTTCTGGGAGGGCACCTCCCCCGATCCATGTATTTGGCGACTGCGCGCCAAATCCAAGGATCGCTAGTCCATGTTTGCGCGCCCCCGAGATCCGAGAGTCCCCAGCAGTCCGGCTTTGCTCAACTTCAGGCCTATTTCTTGTCGAGCTGCTTGAGTCGCCTCTGGGCACATTCCTACCTGCCGGGTATCGCATGCCATTTTTCGTGTCGCTCCGGGAGAATACTCCGCAAGGTTTTCCGTGCCAGCGACGAGTTACTAGATCATTAAATTTTGAGTCGCTCTTTGAGGGGGCCCGGCGACCGACAACGACGAACATGTTCCGCACTTGGAGATCCGACGTCGCGGAACAGAAATGGATATCGTCGTAAATCACGGCTTGAGCTGTCGGGTTTCTCCGAAGGGCTCAGGCGACCCGTCCTTCTCCTCCTCCTCCTCCTCCTCTCCTCCTCCTCCTCCTCCTCCTCCTTCTCCTCCTCCTCCTCCTCCTCCTCCCTCCCTCCCTCCCTCCCTCCCTCCTCCCTCCCTCCTCCCTCCCCCCTCCCCCTCCTCCTCCTCCTCCTCCTCCTCCTCCTCCTCCTCCATCTCCTCCATCTCCTCCATCTCCTCCTCCTCCTCCTCCTCCTCCTCCTCCTCCTCCTCCTCCTCCTCCTCCATCTCCTCCATCTCCTCCTCCCCGTTTTCTTCCATCTCCTCCTCCCCCTCGGGTCGCCTACGGCCCCGGGGGAGACCGTGCAGCCCGAGCAGACCGTGCAGCTCGAGCCCCCGCCGCCCCCTCCCCCCCCCTGTTTGCGGCATCCCTCGAGCCGCACCGCTCCGCGAGGGCCTCGGGGTCTCGTCCAGAGTCCGCCCTGCAGGGGGACGCTTGCGTTGCATCTTCGGGGACCTCGTCTGTCCCCCAACTTGGTGTCTTCTCTTGAGCCCGACGCGGGCTCGATGCGGACTCGACGTGGATCTGGCGTGGCTCCGACGCAGATTCGACGCGGATTTGAGGAGTCCGACATGGACTCGGCACGGATTCGACGCGGGTAGAGGCGCGACGGGACAGGCAAGGTCCCTCGAAGATGCAACAGGGGGACGCGCCCGACCTTATCTCAGGGGCCCGCTTCTTTCTTGCGTGGGGCATGACGGGCGTCATGGCCCCCGCTCCCCCCCCCATGACGCCCGTCATCGCCGAACATAAAGTAAATCGGGCCTGTCCCTCTAATTGAACATTAGTCAAAAAACAGTAGGGGGACTATGCTTTGAGTATTTTTTTTGACCATTTTGGAGTTTTCTTTTGGGGGGGGTATTTTTTTGTTACTTCGTCGACAATCCCCCTGTAGGGGGACACGCTCGACTTAAGCATAAAGACGCGCGCCCCATGGGGCCCGAGGTACGGCGAGCCAAGAGAAGACGCCCTGGGCGTCACTCGGAGGGGCCAACGTCGACGATGACGACCAGGCTGAGTGACTGGTCGTCGGATGCCGCGTTGAAGTCCCAGTCCGCCTCTCAGCATGGCAGGGGAAAGCGAAGTAACGCAAGCTACATCGCTGCCCCTGCAGAAGCTGAAGCTGAACAGAATGGGGGCGAGGACGCCCCGTGTGGAGGCCCCCTGCGGCGCGAGGAGCTCTCGGGGATGCCTGCCCCCCTTTGCGGCGGCGCGCCGGAGGCCTCCTGGGCGGCTCGAGGTCTCTCCGGGGGGCTCCGGGGGTCTCAAGGGCGAAAGTCGGGCGTGTCCCTCTACAGGAGGAAGTCCAAGATAGTCAAGAACTGACCAGGGGGAATCAAACAACTATTCTTGTTGATTCGAATATTTGCTGTATTTTTCGACCAAAATTCGCCTGTAGGGGGACATGCCCGACCTAAGTCAAGGGTGTGATTTTATTTATTCGGCTGACTGGGCCAAACTTCGGATGTCCACACAGCTGATCGTGCATAGGTCAAACTATTCAGGAGCGAAAGAAGGACGTACACGTGCATGAATCCACGATGGATTCGAGAGTAAGTACTGCGCGACCGTTCGTATCTCGCGGCCGGTCTCGCGGATCGGGCGGCCGTGTTCATGTACACGATTGGGCGCGTACGTCCTTCGTGGGCTCCCCAAAATTATCACCGGGATCCTGAAGTCAGAATTCTGGGCGTGCTGTTGTGGATAGGCCAGTACATTCAGTCAGGCCTGCCAGGTTTCGCGGATGGAAGAATAAGTTAAAACAAGAAACCGCCCACCAAATTACCCCAGCCCAGCCCGAAGGCCCCAATTTGCTCTCCATTCCTAGTGGGGGGGCGTCGGGGAACATTGAAAAAACACATGTGGAGCCTGTACCCCCCCAACCCGAAATGTGGGTCTTCGGGTGAGGTGGGAAAGGTCTGGTATGTAGTCAGGTGGTCAGCTCGAAGACTGCCAACACCCTGAAGGGCTGGCCAGTGAAAGCCGCGAAGGACGGACCGCAGAGGCAAGGACGCAATGCTACCCTAAGGACATCCGCGCGTCCTTACCATGAGTTTTGACTGTGCACGTTGGAGGCCTGGGTGGTCAGCTCGACACCCCCCGAGACATCTGCAGCTCCTGCCTCCGGTTCCAAGGAAACAAACAATGGCATACAATTAAGAATTCGCAGGTCCGCGCGGATTTTTCGGATCGGCGTTGGACCCCCTCCTTGGCGCGCGGAGCGCGCCATGGGGCGGCGCGGAGGCGCCGCCAGGGGGCCCCAGCGCCGATCCGAGAAATCCGCGCGGACCTCCGAGTTTTCATGTCGCTGTTTGTTCCCCCAGGTTCTCCCTCCGCGTGCTGGTGGGGGACGTGGCGCAGCAGAGCAACCTCGTGTGCGGCTGCCTCGCCGCCTCCGACCGGCTCGCCCTGGCCACGCTAGCGCAGCGCGCGGACGCCTCGCTGCACGAGGCGCTGCGGCGCGCTTGCCCGGGGGGTTGGCTCGCCGCCGCCGCCGCCGCCGCCGCCGCCGCCGCCGCCGCCGCCGCTGCCGCCGCCGCCGCCGCCGCCGCCGCCGCCGCCGCCGCCGCCGCCGTCGTCGTCGTCGTCGTCGTCGTCGTCGTCGTCGTCGTCGTCGTCGTCGTCGTCGTCGTCGTCGTCGTCGTCGTCGTCGTCGTCGTCGTCGTCGTCGTCGTCGGCGGGCTCCCTGGAAGGCAGGGGCCTCGTCAGAGGGGCCCCGCGCGCCTCTGCGGAGGCCCCTCGGCGGCCTCCGAGCGCTTCCGCGAGGGCCCCCTGCCTTCGAAGAGGGCTCCCCTCTGCCCTCTCTGGCGGCCGCCCCCCCCCGCGCCCCCCCGTCTCGTGCGCGCCGCCGGGAGGCGCTGCGGAGCCCCCCCGCCGCGGAGGCCGACCGCGTGGAGCTCGCGGCGGAGACCGGGGAAGAGCAGAAGCGGCGGAGGCACAAGCCAGTGTCGTTTATCCGATCCCCATCCCCGCCCCCATGCCCTTCGAGACCCCCACCAAATGACCCCCCCCACTTGGGGATGCACCCCTCGAGACCCGGAGGGAACGGCCTATATCCCCATCTGGGGGGGCAAATCGGCCAGTGGGGCCCAGGCCACGCCGCTGGGGATGGGGATCGGATAAACGATACTCAACAAGCTATCGGGGGATCCGCGCGGGTTTCTCGGATCGGCACTGGACCCCTCCCCGCCTTGGCGCGCTCCGCGCTCCAGGAAATCCGTGAGGACCTCCGAGCGCTGATGTCTTTACTCCAGGCTGCTTCATAAGCACCCCCCCCGCCACCCCGACCGACGACGTGTTCTGGCCCCCCCCCCCACGCCCACAGAACCCAGCCCCTCAAGCGATCCCCCCCACCCCCACGCACCGCCAAGGACGGCCCTTGCTTACACCCCCACGCGACCCTCCCCCACAGCTTTTGGGCACAACCTGGAGGATGCAGTTTTTTTCTCCCCGCCCAGGAGATGGGGCAGATGCAGCGGGCGTTCCAGCTGGGGGCGGATGTCCCGACGTACGCGTTCCAGCTCAAGGTTATGATGTTCCAACCTGCTTTAGCCTTGACCACCAGAAAGAATTTCGAGCACCAGAAAAGTACCCAACAACTCGAGGGTTTTCACGTGTCGGGTCCTGGGAGACTGTTTCGACACTGTTTCGACACTATTTCGACACTTTTCCGGATGCTCGAAATTATTTCCTGGGATGTGGTCTTTAAGTACGATGGGAGCAACATAGCTCAAGGTTGACCAGTGGCTCGACCAGGTCGAGCGGAAGGCGCGGGAGCACCTCTACCACGCCTGCGCGTCCCCGGGGTGCCCCATGGATAACTGGGTGCTCAAGGCGGACTTCGAGCAGGCCAGCCGCTCCTCTCCCAACGTCAAGTCGGGCCTGTCCCTCTACAGGAGGAATACTCAAAAATAGTCAAGAAATACTATGTGGACGCTTTTTGGGCTATTTTTGAATGTTTTTGGAGTATTATCGGGGTATTTTCATGTTTTCGCCCAAAATCTCCCTGTGGGGGGGCAGGCCCGACCTAATCCTAAAGCCCAGCCAGTCCCGAAGAGCGCTCCTGAGCAGCGGCTGCGGGCACAGCAGAGAGCGGTTCCCCTCACCCTCCCATCCGGGGGGATGCCAACCCAGCCACCCGTATTGGGACCCACCATTAGGCGCGGACGGAGTCTGGCACGTGCACCTGGATATGCAACGCGGGCCACCAGAACACCGTGCTGCCATCGCGGGAGGACATCGACCAGATGAACAAAAACATCCTGCTGCACCCGGAATTCTACACCGACCAGTGCGGCGTGGACTCCCTGAAGCTGCGGCGCTTCCGCCTCTGCCCGATGTGCGTCCCAGAGGCGGCGGGCTCGCCCGAAGACGCCGCCCCCTTCCTCCACCTCCGACATCTCCTTCTCCTCCTCCTCCTCCTCCTTCTCCTCCTCCTCCTCTTGTTCCTCCTCCCGCTTCGAACGAGAAAAAGAAGGAGCCTCCACGAGCATCAACTTTCAGAGGTCCGCGCCGATGCCTTGCATCGGCGCTGGATCCTCCCCCTCCCGGCGCGAGGGGGCTCGCCAGGGGGCGGCGCTGGAGGCGCCGCGAGGAGGGTCTGGCGCCGACCCACGAGATCTGCGCGGACCTCGAAAAGCTTACGCTCTGCAGCCTTCTCTTGTCCTGTTTTCCTCGTCGTCGCCGTCCTCCTCCTCCTCCCTCCTCCTCCTCCCTCCTCCCGTCTCCCGCCTTCTCGCTTCTCCTGCCTCATCCTCCCTCTTCCTCGTCCTCCGTTTCCTCCTTCTCCTCCTGCGCTTTCCTCCTCTTCCTCCTCCCTCCTCCTCCCTCCTCCTCTCTCTCCTTTTCCTCCTCCCTCCTCCTCCTTCTCCTCCTCCTTGTCCTCGTCCTCGTCCCTCCTCCTCGTCCCTCGTCCCTCGTCCTCGTCCTCGTCCTCGTCCTCGTCCTCGTCCTCGGCCTCGGCCCTCCTCCTTCTCCTCCTCCTCCTCCTCCTCCTCCTCCTCCTCCACCTTCGCCTCCTCCTCCTCCTCCTCGGCTTCGAGAAGGGGGGGAGGGGAAGGAGGACGGAGACGGACGAGGCGGAGGGCGGAAGGGAGGGGCCCGCGCCCGCGGCCCCTCGGCCGGGGCCCCCGTCGGGGGCCGATGCCTGGCCTCCGCGCCCGTGGAAAGAGGGGCGGTGGCGAGCGACGGGCCCTCGTCTCGGGAGGATTGGGGAGCGTGCTCAGGATCGAAGAAGGAAGCACACATTTTTTCCCGGAAAGGGCTCCGGCCCAGGGTTCTCTTTTAGTAGGTAAACCTGTCCCCCGGTGCCAACTTGAAGGAGGCCGGCGGATTTTTTCCCTGATAAATATCGAGGTCGAAGGAGGCCGGCGGATTAAAATTTGAGGATGTCTCGAGCGAAACGCTTGTTTTTCAGAATTTGTTGAGGATGTCTCGAGCGAAACGCTGGTTTTGCAGAGTTGGGGATGTCTCGAGCGAAACGCTTGGTTTCAGAATTTGTTGAGGATGTCTCGAGCGAAACGCTGGTTTTGCAGAGCCGACCGCGACACGGAAAAGCGCTCCTCGCGCAGGAATTCCGAGGATGTCTCGACTAATTCGTTTGTTTTTGTACGATTTCCTTGAATTTTGGCAGGATGTCTCGAGCGAAATGCACGACCCCACCCTAGCACGACCATACCCCAGCACGACCACACCCCAGCACGACCAGACCCCAGCACGACCCCACCCCAGCACGACCCCACCCCAGCACGACCATACCCCAGCACGACCACACCCCAGCACGACCCGACCCCAGCACGACCCTACCCCAGCAAGACCACACCCCAGCACGACCACACCCCAGCACGACCTCACCACAGCACGACCACACCCCAGCACGACCACGCCCCAGCACGACCACGCCCCAGCACGACCACGCCCCAGCACACCACCCCCCAGCACGACCACCCCCCCAGCACGACCACCCCCCAGCACGACCACCCCCCAGCACGACCACACCCCAGCACGACCACTCCCCAGCACGACCACACCCCAGCACGACCACACCCCAGCACGACCACACCCAGTCGCACCCCCGTGGAAGGTTTCGTGGCGTGTCTGGTTGAGTGGTTGCCTGTTCGTGGGGTGTCTCGTGGACTGTTTCACGGGGTGTCGCGTGGAATGTTTCGTGAGGTGTCTCGTGGAATGTTTCGTGAGGTGTCTCGTGGGATGTTTCGCGGGGTGTCTCGTGGGATGTTTCGTGGGATGTCGCCCAGTTGGGTATCGTGAAAACGTGACCATGCTGCACATGTCTTTATCCCTTTCCGGGTTCGTGGGTCCATCATGTTTCCCAGAAAGGGCTCGAGCCCAGGGTTCTCTTTTAGAGGTTTGCCCCCGGATCTGACGGCTGTAGGGCCGGCGAAATTATTCTGCGATACATTACGTGCGGGAGTAGGGCCGGCGGCATTATTTTTGAGGATGTCTCGAGCGAAACGCTTGTTTTTCCTGGAAAGGGCATGGGCCCAGGGTTCTCTTTTAGATGGTCTTCCCCCTGGTTTCGACTTGAAGGGGGCCGGCGGAATTCTTGTGCGATAAATTACGAGGTCGAAGGGGGCCGGCGGATTTCAATTGTGAGGACGAAGGCCATTTTTTTTTGGTTAAGATAAAAAAACAGCGGGTCGAGAGCGCACCTCTTCCGGTCGAAGCTAAGCGGGCCGCGCAGCGCACAGCTTCAATTAGCAAAGGGTGGGGGGCAGAAGGAGGGGCCTCACGTCAAGGCCAGGAGGAGGCAAAGGCCTGGAATCAGGCGGTGCCGAAGACGATGTGCTTGCAAAGGAACGCCTTGTACAGGAACCCGGCGGCGAAGTACCGGAAGAAGAAGAAACAACACATCAACATAAACTTTTGGCGCTCCGCGCGGATCTCTTGCATCTGTGCCGGGCCCCCCTGGCGGCGATCTGCGCGCCAGGGGGGGAGGTCCAGCGCAGATTCAAGAAGTCCGCGCGCAGCGCAAACAGTTTTTTCCCGGAAAGGGCTTGAGCCCAGGGTTTTCTTTTAGATGGTTTACGCCCGGTTTTGACTTGAAGGGGGCCGGCGAAATTATTCTGCGTAAATTGAACAAATGCGTTTCGTACGTGCCCGCTCGAGGAAAGTGCGCCCCCCATCTCGGATCCTCGATAAACAACGGGGTTCGCAGACTTCCGTTTTCTTTCGTAAGAAAGGAGGTGCAGAGCGTTTTTCGCATAATCTTCGACAAATAACGGGGTCTGGAGCCCCGACCGCGACGCGGAAAAGCGCCCCGCGCGCAGGAATTCTGAGGATGTCTCGCGCGTGCCGCGTCCCGCGCACAGGAATTTCGAGGATGTCTCGGCTAATTCGCTTGTTTTGTCCGGATTTCTTAGAATTTTTGCAGGATGTCTCGAGCGAAACGTTTGTTTTTCCCGGAAAGGGCCTGGGCCCAGGGTTCTCTTTTAGTAGGTTTACCCCCCGGTTTCGACTTGAAGGGGGCCGGCGGAATTCTTGTGCGATAAATTACGAGGTCGAAGGGGGCCGGCGGATTTCAATTGTGAGGGCGAAGGCCATTTTTCGCCACCACTCACGCAGATCGTGCTCTTGGAATGGTACCGCGGCCTCCGGAACGGCGCTGGGAACGGAGTCTTGGATTCTTGAAGTTGCATAAGTTCGGAAATAGCAGAAATTCTCTGTGTTTTTGGACCCTGACCCCGCCGATTTGCGTGAGGTGTGGCACGGAATACCAGAAATGGGTCAAATCCTCTGTGTTTTTGGACCCTGACCCCGCCGATCTGCGTGAGGGGTGGCGCGGAATTCCAGAAATGTGGCAAATCCCATGTGTTTTTGGACCCTGACCCCGCCGATCTGCGTGAGGGGTGGCACGGAATTCCAGAAATGTGGCAAATCCCGTGTGTTTTTGGACCCTGACCCCGCCGACCTGCGTGAGGGGTGGCGCCGAATTTCAGAAATGTGGCAAGTCCCATGTGTTTTCGGACCTTGACTTCGCCCAGGAGGGCCCAGGAGGCTCCAGGAGAGCCCAAGAGAGCCCAGGAGGGCCCAGGAGAGCCTAGGAGGGCCCAGGAGGACCCAGGAGGCTCCAAGAGGCACCAGGGGGCCCAAGGAGGGCCTAGGAGAAGCTCCAGGAGGCTCCAGGAGAGCCCAGGAGGGCCCAAGAGGTCCAAGGAAGTCCCAGGAGGGCCCAGGAGCCCTTTCGAGGGATCGTGGCCCTGGGAGCGCTGACGTAGCGTAATTTACGAGGGATCGTGGCCCTGGGAACGCGGGTGTAGTGTAATTTTTGAGGATGTCTCGAGCGAAACGCTTGTTTTTCAGAATTTGCTGAGGATGTCTAGAGCGGGGGCTTCGTGGGGGCAGAGAATTCAGAGGATGTCTCAGGCGAAATGCTTGTTTTCGTGTCCCGCTCGCAGAAATTCCAAGGATGTCTCGCGCGTGCCGCGTCCCGCGCGCAGGACTTTTGAGGATATCTTGACTAATTCGTTTGTTTTGTCAGGATGTTTTCTAGAATTTTGGCAGGATGTCTCGAGCGAAACGCTTGTTTTTCATAGTTTTTTTGCGGATGTCTCGAGGGAAACGCTGGTTTTGCAAAATTTTGGGATGTCTCGAGCGGGGGCTTCGTGGAGGGGCAGAATTCAGAGGATGTCTCAGGCGAAATGCTTGTTTTCGTGTCCCGCTCGCAGGAATTCGAAGGATGTCTCGCGCGTGCCGCGTCCCGCGCGCAGAATTTTTTAGGATGTCTCGACTAATTCGTTTGTTTTGCCAGGATGTCCTTGGATTTTGACCGGATTTCTTGAGCGAAGCATTTGTTTTTCATAATTTGTTGAGGATGTCTCGAGCGAAACGCTGGTTTTGCAAACTTGGGGGATGTCTCGAGCGGGGGCCTCGTGGGGGGCCAGAATTCAGAGGATGTCTCAGGCGAAATGTTTGTTTTCGTGTCCCGCTCGCAGGAATTCCAAGGATGTCTCGCGCGTGCCACGTCCCGCGCGCAGGAATTTTGAGGATGTCCCGTAGCGCGTCCCCTTGGCACGTCCTACGGTGCGACCCCATGGCACGTCCCTTGGCACGTCGCCTGGCGCGTCCCTTGGGACGTTTCGCGGCGCGTCCTCCTGGCATGTCCCCCTGTCAATTAGCTCTGGGGCAGCTACTATGTGTTCAGGCAGCTCGAGCTTCAGATCCAGATAAGTTCGGTCAGGATTCGGATGCAAAGGAAGACTCGATCCACGACGCTATAGAGCACAATCGCGGCATGGCACATCGCAATTCAGCACGGTGCAGCACAGCACAGCCCTCGGCACGGTACATAAGATCGATACAATCAGCATTGCACTTGCCCGTCACCCAATCAGGT